TTGGCTCAAACCTCCACAAAGGGGTTTTCTTGGCAGATAGGTAAGCCCAATAGTCAAGAAAAATGATGATTTTGAAAGGGATAAATTCAGGCTAGAGGCATAGCTTGATGGTTGTGGCAGATTTCACTTTACACCTCTTGCTTGGTTTAATCATTTTTAAATGCAAGTTGCAAGGCAATTTGCAAGGCAACTTGCAAGCTTGGAGAATTCACTTCTTCTGCATTATCTTCTCATTTCTAGGCTTCATAATCTCTACATATCAGAAATAATATCATTCAAGGGCTGATATTGGCCATTTTGATCCAAAGAATGATTTTTGAACTTTGGACAATGTGGGACTAAAGTATGAAATCACCAACTTGCCATAACCATAACTTTCAGCTCACAACTCCTTTTGAGATGTGCTAGTACTTTTTAGAAAGCCCTCAAATAGCTCTAAAACATTCATGTTTTCATGAGTTTCAATTTCCCAAAGGAACTTGGTCAAAAGGTCTCTCAAAGTTGCTAAAAAATGAACTTAAAACTTTTAAGTTCATTTTTTAGCAACTTTGAGAGACCTTTTGACCAAGTTCCTTTGGGAAATTGAAACTCATGAAAACATGAATGTTTTAGAGCTATTTGAGGGCTTTCTAAAAAGTACTAGCACATCTCAAAAGGAGTTGTGAGCTGAAATTTCTCTAAGTCTTTTTCCCTTCTTGAAATGAATTTGATCATAACTCCAAATCTATGCATTTTCTGATCATGGACCACTTAGGGACTTTTGTAGGGTTTGTCAAGAGATTTAAAATGAGCTTTGAACCACTTCATTTGGATGTGTGGTTAAGGAGTTATGGTTTAGCCCCTTTCAAAACCCTAATTTCTCGATTTTTCGATTACTCCTTCATCCTTGATCCAATGGTCATGAAAATTGATAGGCAAGTGCAATATGATATAAGGAACATTTTTTATTCACACTTTGAAGTCCAATTCCTTAAATTTGAAGAGTTGACTTTTTGGGTCAACCGTACGATCGATCGGTGACTACCGAGTCGTCTGTTGACACTCTGGACCTCCTGAGACTTTGAAACTTCTTGAATGAACTTTATTAAGCTATATGAACTTCATGGATCATAATCCCACCATTAAAACACCTTCCAACATCAAAGTCAAACTACAGTTGACTTTCACTGGTCAAAAACCCTAATCGGGTGCCCTGACATACACTGTTCTTGACTCTGGGTAACAACCTCAAATTGGATTCTCAATTGACATCATAGGATACCCTTAATCTTGTTTCATGATTTAATTAGCCTAAGACTTTGATTGATCACAAACCCTGAAGCTTCGATTTGACTGTACAAAACCCTGATTCATCTGTAACTTGACAAAGACAAACTTGCACTGGGTTAGGGTTAGATAATTCATGAGTATGCTCCTAAAATGATAATGAGAATCTAAGGGGTCAAAATTTGGGGTATGACACTGAATCTATTCTTTTCCTTTGACTTCCTTGTCCAATTACTTGTGTCTTACACTTTGATGTTTGTATGCCTAATTTCTCCATGATAACACACAAATCAAAGCAACCAAAGGTATTTTCAACAATATTGAAGAATAACATGATATCATTGATTAAATCCAACAAAACATAACAAAAAGTTGAAAAATGCCAATAAATAAGGATCAATTTAAGGAAGTTTGGCATTCAACACTATACCCAAAAACCTTTTGGAAGATTAACATTAAACCGAAGGCACGTTGCCTTCTCTGTTAGAATCCTATTCATCCTCTTTGCAACACCATTACGTTGTGATGTCTTACTCACATAAAAGTGCCTATAAATTCCATTTTCTTTACAAAAATGCATGAAATTCTTGTTAGTGTATTCAGCTCTATTAGCATACCGCAAATACTTTATTTTTCTCCTTGTCTGGTTCTTAACCTCTGCCTTTCACTATTTAAACTTGGAAAATACCTCGGATTTATATTTCATAGAATTAACCTAGACCTTATGAGAAAAATCATAAGAGAATGTCACAAAGAACCTGGAATTTCTAACAGAGGGCTCTTTTGTTGGCCCCCAAACATCATAATGGACATAGTCTAAGATTCCATTGGTGTTGTGTTGCTCGGTCTTGAAATGAACTCTACATTATTTCCTAAGAACATAATACTTACACAATCCAGTTGTGCAACTGCGGACATCCTTTAGCAAATTCCTCTTATGTAGTTCCGTCATCCCAAGTTCACTAAGATGACCCAAGCGCATGTGTTCCAATTTGGTTGCATCATTATTAGTTTTAATAGATGTCACATCATCTATAATTGTGCCCCTAACAACTTATAAATGTTGTCTGCAGTCCTCATTGCCATTGTCATTGCATCCTTTCTAACCCCCATGATGTCTTTATCTCCATCTGACCATAATGAATAACCATTTGCTTGAAGAGTACCCAGAGAAATCAAATTCTTCCTCAATTATGGAACATAACACACCTCACTCAACATGCGCATACCAACATCATCCAAATCAATTATAATTTGCACATTTCTAGTGATAGTACAAGTTTTATTATCACCTAAAGAGACAAAACTAAAATCACTTGATTTAAAATAGTTGAACTACTCTCGGTGCGACAACATACGGTAGGAGCACCCAGAATCAAGGATTCATGCATCAATGCACTTTACAGATGAAATACAAAAAAAAATTCCTCTTTACTACATGAACCATAAGTCTGAACTACATTTGTTGAACTACCATTGCCTGACTTGTTTGGACAGTCCGTCTTCCAATGGCTAATTTTCTTACTAGCATAACATTTTGTTGTTTTATGTCCTTGGACTTGAACTTCTTTTTCTTTCTAGAACCCACTGCCTTACCCTTGCCTCTTCCACGAACTTGGCCTCCCTTCACAAACAAACCTTTTCACCTGAACTTCCTCCACATTCCTCTACACTTTGGCGACATTGTGCATGTTGCAAAAGAGTAGAAGAAATAGAATCCAACGTGATTATTTCCTTCCCGTATGTGAGAGTGGTCACTAAGTGATCATCAAAGCTTGGTAAATAACACAACAAAATAATGGCTTTATCCTTATCATCAACCTTCACACCAAGTTGTGTTAAATTGGCGAGGATGTTGTCGAAAGCGTTGACATGAGTCTGCAAATCGCTTCATTCCTACATCTTAAGACTATAGAGACGCTACTTCACGAACAATTTGTTCATGAGCGTTTTGGACATGTATTGCCTTTTCAATTTATCCTAGACATCATTTGGAGTTGCAAGGTCTAGAATACGATTAATCATGTCATTAGAAACGCAGGGTCTTATCAAACACGTAGTCTTCTCCTTCATCTCGTTTCAATCAACGGTTGAGATGTCTGTCGGTTTCTCATTACGAAACGCCTTATGTAAACCTTGCTGAGGCAACAAATCTTTAACCTTCCTTTGCCATAAATCAAAATTGCTTGTTCCATCGCACCAAGTCACTTCAAATTTACCAATTGTTAGAACAATATCACAAATACAAATCATAGTAGATAGAAACACACAAAAGTTTTGTTTACGCAGTTCAACCAAAATACATATGTTTGCAACTATAGAGCATCTATAATTTATTTAAAAAGTTTATAATTATTCTAACAATACGAGTTATACTCTTAACCATCTATAGATATCTCAACAACACATAATTATCTCTACAACAATATAAATTATACTCTCAACAACTCATATTTATTTCAACAATTCATAATTATTTCAATGAACCATATTTATCAAAGTGATTAACATCATATATTTTAAAAAATTAATATTTTTTTAAAATTAAAGAATCAAAATAAATCACAAAGTTGATATAAAAAAAATATTAAGCCAATTTTTAATAATGTTTAGAATACTGTAGTACTCCCTCGAATCGTTTCAAATATTGATCGTGCTTAACTATGCCAATAAGACCAAGTTATCCAATTATACTTCAACTTAATTAACACTTATTCACATGAGAGCAAAACATCATTGCTATGTTAAACACTTCGTTGCATAGGTACGGGTATGTATTAGTATTCGATATTTTAAAAAAACTATGGTATAAGTATATTAATATAATTTTTTTTAAATATATTATAAAAATAATAAAGGAATTACATTGTTTAAATAATATTAAAATATTAAAATTAAAAAATAATTTATTTTAAAATAGTTAATATCTTTGTAATAAAATAATTAAATCATACTTAACAAGTATCAATAAATCATAAAATAATAACTGAATTTTTATATTTTCTTCTCCAATATCATTAAAAAAAGAATGATTTCTAAATCAGGTCCTCAAAAAGAGAGACTAATAACTTTAAGAATATCAACTCCATCAAATAAATCTCATTCATTTCTCATTATAAACCTTACTCTTTCTCGAAAGAAGAGAAAAACTTGTATGAAAAAACTAAAGTATCAACTCTCTTTAGATTAAGCCTATTCATTTTCAATAAATGAATAAATAGAATAATTCACCGAATAAAAAAAATTTTTAATTAAACTATCTAAAAAAAGTTTAAAAATTAGATACGTAGTACCAAATGTGTACCGGTTAATGTACCAACTTTTAAAAAAAAAATTTGATATAACTTCGATGCGTACTAGGTGTATCGGTACTTAATACGTACCCGATACTAGTACTTTACTTCAAATGGAATAACCGTGTTTCAAAGGGTAAGCATCTCTTGATGCCTCGTTTCTGCATTGCTTTTACCTAAAGCAGCACTAACAATTGAAGCATCACATTCTTATTCTCAAAGTGTAACAAAGGCTACCAGAATTCCTTCATTTCTCATCTACATAAACTAAAAATATATATTTAATTTTGAAGAATTTATTCAAACACAAAAATTCAATAAAATCTGTTTATCTCTATTTGGGAATATCCATGTTGAGAAAGCAATCATGAATACTCCAAAAACTATGTGCTGTACATTATCAACTCAATCTGTAGAATCTCATGCACATGTGCTTCCTTTCTAACCATTGGATGACCGGAATATCCGTTTGATAATGGCAACTTTAGGTGTAACTTTGTGTGAGATTACTTTACCAACATGTGTTGATGAAGATATTCTAAAAGTTAGTATCACTTTCTTTTCCAATACATTCACCACTATGGACTCAGTTTCTACTGAAAAATGAAAGTTAAAGAGAGAATTGTATTAGAAACTAACAAGAACAGTAAGGACCACTGCTCTTTTTCTCTCTCTGAGCTTTCTCTAACTTCTTGCTAACAAAACAAATAGAGGAAATGAAATTGGATTTGATTAAAGAATTTTTCTTACAGATCATTAATTAAAACCAATCAACAATTTCACAATCATGTTCAAAACATTTAGTATAGAATATACCCTATTACTTCAACAAAATCAAAGGATAACATAACATGAAGTTACTTTAACAAACACACTTACCATTCATTTTTGTAATAATGTCAGTAACTCTCTTCTGGCACTTCTCACATTTCATATCAGCAGAAAGAACAACCTCCTGCACCTATTCTCATAATTCATTATCAAAAATCATAATCACTTCAAATCTCAAAATAAAAGGTTTCAACTCAAAGCTATACATACCAGAGGCAAGGACAAAGACTCCAAAGATGCAAGACTAGAAAGAGGAAAACTCTTCGAGACCTTTACACCAGCTGCTCTCTGAACCTCCCTTTTCTTAGAACAATCTTTAAAAGCCATACTTCTCGAACAATTTCTATGTTTTCTCTTTTTCTTTTTACCAACTTTGCAAGATGAGTCTCATTTTGAGTTGATACAACAATTTCATCACTTGTTGGTGCTGGTGGGGTTGGCAGAAAAATGACAATTGCAAAAAAAGTGAAAATGGCTTTTTATTTTATTTTATGATGAGTATGTTAAGAAGGTCCCACATAGTGACATAGTGTTTGATTGTATTTTCTTTCACAAGAAATGATTCAAAGTAGTAATAAATATTATTATCTAGAAGATTAATACCAACAGCATTGGATCCACTAGTGTAGTGTAGGTTATTGGGTGTGTATGTAACTAAAGTCAAAGAATTGGCTGCATCCAGCAGTGGTCCATTTCAATGACAGTATGCATTTATTGAAAATTCAAGTATTCTACCCTCAAAAGTCAGTCTTCAACTTCACCAGGCTAAATACCAAACACACACTCTGTTCATATTAAGGTTGTGTTATATTCAACTTTTATATATATATATATATATATATATATATATATATATATATATATATATATATATATATATATATATATATATATATATATATATATATATATATATATATATATATATATATATATATATATATATATATATATATATATATATATATATATATATATATATATATATATATATATATATATATATATATATATATATATATATATATATATATATATATATATATATATATATATATATATATATATATATATATATATATATATATATATATATGGATGATAAGTGGTTTTAATAATTAGTATTATATGTATTACATTTTAAGTTGAAAAGAGCTATGTTAAACATTCTAAAACAGTCCACCACTAGTATTTTAAACAAGAAAATGAAATATTATAACCATTAATTTGGTAGTATAAATATCTACAAAAATGATTTCCAAATTATCATTTTACACCAGATTTAAATGGTTTTTTCTTGCTTAAAAGTAAATTTTATATTTGTTCGCAGATGTTTTTAGCGAATAATTACGAGTTTGAAAGTCTTTAAAATTAATTCGAAAAATTCTGAGATCGATTTTGTGTGAAAAATATTACTGTGACATACTGAAGAATTGATAAATTGGCTTGTTTATTCTCAATCACAGGTAACCATATTTATAATAGTTGTACATCAAAAATCATATCTTTGGAGATCTGTAAATTAGGAAATATCCTAGCAATTATTTTCCTAATATATCTTTTCCTAAATATATCTCAATACCCCCTGCTTAAAAGTAAATTTTATATTGTTCACAGATGTTTTTAGCAAATAATTACGAGTTTGAAAGTCTTTAAAATTAATTTGAAAAATTCTGAGATCGATTTTGTGTGAAAAATATTACTGTGACATACTGAAGAATTGATAAATTGACTTGTTTATTCTCAATCACAGGTAACCATATTTATAATAGCAGTACATCAAAAATCATATCTTTGGAGATATGTAAATTAGGAAATATCCTAGCAATTATTTTCCTAAATATATTTTTTCCTAAAATATGTTTTCCTAAATATATCTCAATACCCCCCTCAAGTTGGTGCATGGGATTCAAAAATGCCCAACTTGGAAAGGAGAGAATCAAACTGAGCCTTCCCGAGTGCTTTTGTGAAAATGTCCGCCAATTGAGACGATGTGCAGACGTGAGATGGTGAAATCAAACCCTCATTTATTGCATCCCGAACAAAATGGCAATCGATTTCAATATGTTTTGTTCACTCGTGAAAGATTGGATTTTTCGCAATATGCAACGCAGACTCAATATCAGAAAATAATTTAATTTCCTTAGGATGGTGAACACCCAAACTCAACAACAGTCCTTTTAGCCACTTTAATTCACCAGTGACCGCGACCATAGACCTGTACTCAGCTTCGGCAGAGGATCGGAAAACCGTATTTTGTTTCTTCGTCTTCCAAGAAATCGGAGATTGGCCTAAAACCATTATCCATCCTGTCAGAGAACGGCGAGTAAGGGGACAGGCCGCCCAGTCCGAATCACACCAACCTTCCAATGTCAATTCACTATCTGCACGAAGCAAAATACCCTGACCAGGAGTCCCTTTCAAATAACGAACGACTCGAAGGGCCGCCTCTCAATGCTCCATGCGAGGTTCTTGCATAAATTGAGATAAAATATGGACCGAATAAGCCAAGTCTGGTCGAGTGACCGCAAGATAAACCAGACGACCCACAAACCGTCGATATGATTCGGGATCCGGCACAAAATCACCAGTAGCAAGGCCAAGCTTATGGTTATGCTCAATGGGAAACGCACTTGGCTTTGCTCCCAACAATCATGTTTCAGAGATAATATACAAAGTGTACTTTCGTTGACACAGAGAAAATCCTAATGAGCTACATGCCACTTCAATTCCTAAAAAATATTTGAGACTTCCCATGTCCTTCATTTTGAAGCAATCACTGAGATAAGCTCTGAAAACAGTAAGTGCAGCGGAATCATTCCCAGAAATAATAAGACCATCCACATAAACCAAGACATTAATGCGAACAGCGCCTTTAGCATATGTGAAGAGAGAATAGTCTGAGTAGGATTGAAGAAAACCATAACCTTTCAAAGCCGACACCAATTTTGCAAACCAACATCTAGGAGCTTGTTTCAAGCCATACAACGACTTGCGCAACCAACACACAAAGACGGTTCTGAACTCTCAAATCTGGGAGGTAATTTTATGTACACCTCTTCATCTAAATCACCGTGCAAAAAGGCATTATGGACATCCATCTGGTGCAATGCCCAATTTTTTGAAGCTGCTATTGCTAAGAAGACACGAACCGTAGTCATTTTGGCCACCAGAGCGAATGTTTCATTGTAATCAATACCCTACTGTTGGTGATTGCCCAATACTACTAATCTTGATTTGAGGCGCTCAATATCCCCATTTGATAAATATTTGGTCTTGTACACCCATCGACTACCAAGAGCACGTTTTCCCGGCGGGAGATGTTCCAAAGTCCATGTTCCATTGTCTTCAAGAGCCTGGATCTCCTCCTTCATTGATTGTCTCCACCCGTCGTACTTCATAGCCTCTTTAAAGGATTTAGGATCATTACCCTTGATAACAACTGCAAGAAATCTCCGATAATTTACAGAATAATTGTCACAATTTATATAATGTGCTAAAGGATAAGGAGTACATTGGGAGAGATCAAAAGAGGAAGAAGATGAGGATGTACTATTAGCAAAAATCGTATGTGTCACAAAGTCCCGATACAAAGTGTTCGGGAATTTTTCTCGGAATCCGCGACCCATTTCCTGTTCACTAACTGCTGGAGCTGCTGATGTAGACGAAGCCCCAACAGCCTGATCAGATGATGGCATAGGTTGTTCTTGATTCGTCCCAGCCGGCGCCGGTGAGGTCGTAGGAGATGGTGAGTCTGATGTTTGAACATTGTGTTGGGTTCGCTGCTGATCCAAGAATTCGCCAACCTCAATTTCATTGTCCAAAATTAATTCAGCAAAATCCTCATGAATTTCTTGATCAACATATTCGTTATTCGTGGTGTTTACATCCTCCGGACATCCAAACGGGAACACTTCCTCAAAGAATTTTACATCTCGTGAAACAAAAAATTCTTTTGTATCCAAATCAAACAATCTCCAACCATTTTTACCAAACGGATATCCAACAAAGACACATTTTCGACTTCGACTAGTGAATTTATCTCCTTTAGTTTTCTGATTATGTGCATAACACAAGCACCCAAAGGTTCGAACAACATCAAAACAGGGAGGTTTATCAAAAAAGTATTTCAAAAGGTGTTTTATTCAGTAAAAGAGGAGTATGGGTATGGTTGATTAAGTGAGCAGTAACAAGAACACATTCCCCCCAAAAATAGATAGGCAGGTTTGCTTGAAAACGCAATGCCCGACCAACATTCAAGATATGTTTATGCTTCCTCTCAACTCTCCCATTTTGTTGCGGAGTACCCACACAAGAAGTCTGAAATAAAATTCCGGTTGCATCAAAATATTCAAGCAAACAATTAAACTCAAACCCGTTATCACTTTGAACAACTTTGATTGTTTGAGAAAATTGTCTATCAACCATAGTAACAAAAGCCATAAACATTTGAAATACTTCTAATTTATCGACTAACAAATAAATCGAAACTGCTCTCAAAAAATCATCAACTATTGTAAAAAAAAACGAGCTTCACACGAAGAAACATGTCTATGCGGTCCCCACAAATCACAATGTATTTTCTCAAAAATTCGAGAAGCTTTATTATTACTCAAATGAAATTTATCTCTAGGAAGCTTAGCACGCATACACACTTCACATCCCTTATCCAAATGATCTTTATTACTACTGACATGAGGAATCATCTTAACTACTTTTTCCGAAGGATGCCCGAGCCGACGATGCCATAACTCCAAGTCTGATGTAGCTTTAGCAGTAGACACGAATTTCGGTTTGCTAAAGTAGTACAATCCGTCTCTCTTAATTCCCATTCCAATCAGCTCCTTCGTTTGGTCCTGTATAGCACAAATATGAGAATCAAATTGGACAATAGTTTGTAAATCATCATTAAGTTTAGAGACAGACAGCAAATTGCAACTCAAATTTGGAACATAAAGGACTCCGATGAGAGTAATCTTGTCCGATAAACGAACAGACCCCACCAAAGTGGCAACTACTTTTTCACCATTCGGCAAACCAATCGGGCATTCAAAAATTTGTGTGTCAAATAACCAAGAGCTTTCTCCTATAACGTGGTGAGTTGCTCCGGTATCAATAATCCAAGACGATGCATCAAACTTACCATTTAATCTATTGTCGGGAATTTGAGCATTACCGATAAGACCCGATATAGCCTTCTATTGCTCGGGTGTGAAGAGTTGACCCAAGTTCGAAGGAGACGAACTTGCAGCAGTATTAGCACGCACTTGGCCACGTTCCTGCCCCATTGTGGGAGTCTTCCTGCTCTCGGGCCAGGCATCCAGATA